ATATTGAGTAAGAAAAAGGTTGATAAACGCTGTGAGAATGGGTCTGCAGAGAGAATGGGTCTGCAAGTGTGGCTTGATATTGAGTAAGAAAAAGGGTTTAAAGGTTGATAAACGCTGTGAGAATGGGTCTGCTGAGAGAATTTCGCCGCGATCCCAACTGTCTGTTATCAGCCTGCAGCCAGGGAGGAGAGATCAGCAGAGCTGCATGCACTGAGTGTGCGTGTGGATTGGTCAATTTGGAACAATCAGCGGGGGCTTAACGTAACGGCTCCGCGGACGTAACGTAACGGCTCCACGGATTGGCCCATTTAGTTCCGGGTACGTGCTTTCGTAAGCACGTACCCGGAAGAATCAAATGGACGATGACATTTCACCAACGAGGCGTTTTGGGGAGGTATTTTCTGTGTTAGAGTTTTACTCGCTACAGGGTGTACTTTAAGGGTTTTGACTCTGCAGACCGTTTACATGCAGAAAAACCTTCATAACACACAAGGGGATGGGTAATAACCGGAAAAGCATGACATGCAAGTAAAAAAACTGTATTTGTAAATAAAAACGAAATTCAAAGCTTGGCCCTCTTACTAAACTCTTGTTAAATGTAGTCATTAAAGTATTACTTGATAATATACAGTTGGACATATTTAAACATATTATTGAAAAGAACCTCGCTATGATCAGCAAACCGAAAACAAAAGGAGAAACTGTGCCTCGTGTTGAAATGCGAATATTCCTGGAGTTCTTTGTTTGTGTGTGTTTGTGCGTGTGTGTCCTTGCCTCTTTGAATTTCTCCAGAGACTGCTCCGGCCCGAAGACAAACTGCAGCGGGACGTCTTCACATCGACAGTGCGTCCGCCCGCTGGAGCGCAGGACATGCTCTGCCACTTTCTGCAGCGTGGCCGAGCTGATGACCCGAGAGTGACGCAGAGCAGAGACGATCTCATCCTCCACCAGCCAGCGGATCTGAAACACACACACAGCAAAACAGGACAAACACATCACTGTTGTGTAAGTGAGGAAAGAGCAAAAGTATGTGCCCTGTAGTTTTCAGTGAAAGAGTCTTCTATCTCAACAAAAAAAATGCTGAATATACAATGCAAATATTTGTATAAAGTAGAAAACAAAACCAAAGATTAAAAAGAAAAAATGCTGAATTATCAATAGAATATTCATATAAAATAGTATACATGGTAAAAGATATAATGGTTATTATGCATTTAATGCCCTTGTTCAAAAGGACAAAATGAAAGTGAAGCTTAAAATTGAGCTTGAAGAATGCGATATGTAGACTCACCGCGTCCATGGTGGACAGAATGGCTAACTTGTGAGGAAGTGGGAGTTTGCATAATGGATCACCAGAGACCCTGATGGAAGGAAGAAGGATATGAGAAAATGTTTTTCTATTATTCAGATCGGTATTGTCTGGATGTGTTGAACACACTCACCCGTCAGCAGCAGTTGCCCTCAGACTGTCCAGCCCGGCCATCAGCCCCTCATCAGAGCGGTAGGAGGAGGGCTGCCCTGGTGAGCGATTCAGGGACACACTGCTCTCTGAGGTGTACCTGCGCACAGAGACATAGTGTCGTCATCATGTCGACATGTCTGGCTCTGGCTCTGAATTAAGATTTATTTCGCATTAGGACTCATTTATGGCTTTTGAAAGCAACTTGAATGAGCAAAGCAGCACTGACAGGATTTACCTTACTATGGTTATTTAGTTTCCACATTACAGTACAAAATGTAATCATCAGGATAAAGATATTTCCATCAGTTACAGAAGAAAGTATTTTAATCAAATAGAAAGTGAACATGTGCTAAAAGATAATGATCTTCTCTTGCAAACATGCTGAGATGGAAATACTTGGACTCACCTGTTGTGATGGAAATCAGCCATGACTTCAATCTCCAGAGGTAGTGTCAGGACGAAAATATCTAAAGTGACTGAGAGCTCATTTAAATCCACAGACTGTAAGGCCTCTGCGTTTTCCAGGCAGGAAATAATCTCACCTGCAATCACAAAACTCAAATTAGCTCTGCAACAAAAGCAATATTATCGTTGGTCTTACTTCCCCATTGGATGTGTGACTAAGCCACATTTCAATATGATTAACAGGAATAGTGTCATCTTTAGTGTTCACATTGTGCGTCTGGTACCCACCGAGACAGGTGGGCAGTGTTTGCATGGGCATGGAGCCGTGGCAGCTCTTCATGTTGACTGAACAGGTGACGTGAACAAAGAGCGGGGGCATGTCCAGCTCGGGCCCGTCGGCCTCCAGCAGGGAGTCCCCCTCCAGGATGCTGAAGGAGTCTGCGTCCTGGTTCACAGTGTTGGAGTCGGACAGGGAGTGCTCGTGCCCCTCTGCCCGGGACCCTGAGGCTCGAGGCTCCTCGTACTCCACCACCAAGTCTGTGTCGCTCTCCGTCATGATGCAGCTGCCCGAGAAGTTCTCTGCACACACATTTCTTTAATTATTATTATTATTGACTCGGTTTGTCTCTACCTTCACAAAATAAATAAATGATTCTTTACAGGCAGTATAAGTGAAAACTAAAAAAGAAGCTTATCGTATGCCTACATCTGAAAATGTTTTATCAAAACACAAAACTAAAATAAGGCTCACAACATTTGTAAGTAAGCGAATTACCCTCACCGTCCTCAGTGGCTTGTTCAGCCTCTGACAGCAGCTCCTCACTGAGTCTCCTCCCTGTGTCTCCTTCCTCTGAGTCCTCCTGAGGAGACAAGCAGTCTGCTCAACATGCAGCTCACACATCAGCAGCAGACAGCTTTCACTACATATCTTTGTATTACATTCTATATATATATATATATATATATATAAAATATTCTTATGTATAGATATACCTATCTATTATATTGTATGTTATTCTCTACAAATTTACACTCTACTTCACTGCATTTAAATGTGTCTATAATCTAATCTAATCTTAGTTTATTATTTTGATTATTTGTGTTTGTTTTTCCTTTCAATTTATATCATCTCTGATATTAATTTTTAGATGCAGTGATAATGAGGTACTCTGAGGAATAGATGTACCGTATATCTTTCTATGTTAATTTGTATATACACTGACTGTTGTATTTTGATATTGTGTATTTTATATGTTTATTTATTTAAAATATAATTTATTCTTAGATAAAAAAAAAAACATAAATATATAATTCCTCCTTTTGTAAGATCTTTTTTAAGTTGTTCAACTTCATTATGTCCAACATTCATTTTGTAATCAGTGTGAAAGAGATATGAGGAGCGAATTAGCACAAGGACACTAATTACAATGGCAAAACACGACCAGGTCAACTCACCTCTTTCTTGCATGAAGGCGGGCAGTAGAAGAAGTAGTGTGGGTTGGAGGGCACCGTTTTGAAATACTGGCTCACGACCCCCATGAATTTATCCTATCGAATGATTCAATTCAAACATTGGTTTCACCGTGTTAGTTTTGCATCTCCTGGACTTACTGATTATTCAGAGGAATAACCACATGTACTTTAAAATGAATAAATAATGACCAGAAATATATATCTTTATATTGTACCTGTATGATTCTGTGCAGATCAGGATACACTTCACACCCGGGCTGTGTGTGCAGCAGACTCAGAGGGAATAGTGGGATACTGGCTGCTGTGGACTCATGCAGAATTGACGGAGAGGACTTCCCTCTAGATTCAGCTTCACTGGCATCCTCCATTTCAATACTATCGCCAAAAGCATGAACATTAAACAATATCAAATGTGTTAGCTCATAGGAAACTGGCTGAAAACATGAAGCCTCGCTGTATCAAAAGCATTTACGGTGAAGTTGAAGTTGTAAAAGTTAAGCAGTTCTACATAAATATACATTGTATTACCTGGATGAGGAGACCAAGGCTGGCCTGTCCTCTGCTCGCTCCTCCTCCTCCTCCTCCTCCTCCTCCACCTCTCCGATGGTAAAGGTGGCAGCGGGGCTTCTGTCAGGTTTTGGGGTCCCGCCCCCATGCTCCCTGAACACCCGGATGTGTCCACAGAGGGTGTGCAGGAAGGCAGTGACGTCGATCTCCTGCAGGGACTCCTCACAGTAGTCCATGGCCATCAGCAGGTCCTGGGAGCTGATGCTGTAGGCCTGCTGCAGGCTGCGGTACACACCTGAGGAACAGCCACTGTTATTTGCATTAAAAACACATAGTGCACGCACTTTATTCAATAAACTCTGTTCCGTACATTGCTCTTGTGATTGCAAACATACACCACTGAACAAAATCTTTAGACCGGGGAAAAATTACAAGAATTTGCATTTTGCACTGGTGGATTGTAACCAGGTTGTTAGTAGAGCTTCAAAATGCAAAAAATAAGAAACGGGAGCAAGAGACCAAAATAGAGAGTAGGCAATTTATTGAAAACTGCATTTAAACTCAAACAGGCTGTTCATCTGCCGATCAAAAGTTTAAGACCATAGCCTTAACAATAATAAATGTATTCTCTTGGTGTTTATTATTGAGAAGGATCGATACGTTGTTATTAACCTGTTAAGCCCCAAGCCTGTTTTTCAGGTTTCAGGCTCGAAAATCACCATAACTACACTTCTAAAAGGGGTAAATTAATAATCTTGTTTCTCAAAGCAATGATACACCTCTGAGTTGGATGTAGAAAAGTCAGAATCAATAGAGATTTTTTTTTATTTTAAAGTAAATTAAAGTAAATTCAGATTGAAAATAGTAAAACAAATTAAATGATAGTTTCCGTCAAAATAAACCATTACTTATAGTGAAAACCACCCTTGAATGATGGGATAGTGACGAAAAGCTTTAGGAATCCAAACTATAACATATAATAAGTACCCTGTATCAAGATTGATGCAAAACAAGTGACAAAAAACCCACTTCTGGGGTAATTTGGGTGTATTTGCCATATCTCTGGAACCCATCGGTCGATTTTGATGATTGACACCTCTTTTGAACCATTAGAGCCAATAGAATCAAGAGGAAGTCCTAAATCCATCTAAACATTACCATTGGTGAATGAGAGTGATGCGCAGCCAGCAAGCTCAAAACCGGAAGCTGCGTTACACTCTCATACACTCTATGAAAACTCCATTATTGACATAAATATGATGATGGTGGATTACCAGTAATCATTACAAAGTGACACAGACACATTGGATTAACCTTCAGCAGCGTGTATATGCGTTTTAATGCCCTTGAACACAACTTTTGATCAGAAAACAGCAAAGGTAAGACGTATTTGCTGTTTTGGCCCCGTAAAGTGAAGTTATGTGTTGTCTTTGCTTGCCTTTGCTGCCGTGAGTTCTCAGTGATGATACTTATACCATTGGAATCTGTGGAATATCAGCTTTCATATGATATCTTGTTTGTGCAGATCCGATGAAGTATAAAAGATCGTTAACGTGAGTTATGTGCTAAGTGCGTTAGCACTCTTTCGCTTAGTGCTAGTTCAGACGCTTGGCCGGGGGCTATGGGGCTTAACAGGTTAAGCTACATTTGGGATTTAAAAGTAGATTTTTTATTATCTAAAAGTTTTCTTAGATTCAGTATCAAATCATTTTAACATCTTTACCCCATTCTTAGCTTTGAAATGTTTTACATTTGTACAAGTAAATCTCCCTGTACTTGTAATTGGCTAATTGTACAGATGTGTGTTTGTCGGTCACCTCTGACGTAGCTCTGGTGGTAGTGCTCCTGAAGCAGGCTGCAGAAGGTGGCCAGCTCTTTGTGTTTGTGAGGCTGGGCCAGGAGCTCGGTCCAGGGGGACGGACTGCTGCGGTCCTGAGACAGAGACCTGCACAGCAAACACACAAACACATACACAAATACACACACAGTAAATAAACATACAGTTAGAAAAGTGATTTGGTACCAACAAGGACGAGAACTTTTCAAATGTTCCATTAGTTGTTTTTCCTCATATTTGTGTAATGAATGTACAACATTAAAAATACAGACAGTTTTATGCGGACATTTTGAATAAGCACAGAGAGAGATTTAGCCTTCAGCCCAGAGCTCCACCAAAGTAAGCAGTATCCAAAGAGCTGAGCCGCTGGAGCTCTGCAGCCTGCGTGTAAATCGTTGTATTCGGGAAGAAATAGGACAAAAAGGAGGAAAAACATGAACGCTTGAAAAAAGATCTGGATGCCCAAAGTGTTCATATCCATGTAAGAGAAAGGCGTCAAAGTGCTGCAACATGCTCATAACTCTGTGCAGGGAGTGTCAGACAATCATATTCAATCTCACAATCAAATGAGAAGCCATAATTGGTTTTATTACAATACACATAATTTTAATTTAAGAAAGATTTTCTTTATTGGATCTTGAAATTAAAATTATATGGATGAATCAATCAGGTGGATTATGATAATGGTAAAAGGGATAGCATCGTCCTGGTTTTTATTACATCTCATTTTAAAAACATGATCCCTGTTTTCTCACCAGTGTATGTGGTAAAAAGCAAGTAAATTACAATGTTTTTGCAGACACACAAAAGACACATACTAGTTTAGTTGCCAGCTAATACAGTCTTTTGTGAACCCTAAAATGTTGAGTACCCCAAAGATTTATGTTAGAAATGTATAGTATGGGTCCGCAGCACATAGAAACTGTCGGATGCTGACCTGCATATGTTGGGCAATTTGCACTATTAGCATAAATTGCGTTAATAAGCATGAATTATTATTATAGCCCATGTGGACAATAGTTTAAAAACGGCTTGGCTGATTTGGGCGATTTGGGGGTGGGTTTGGGGGTATGTGTACTCTTGGTGGGCTGATTCTGATTGATTTTGGGTCTATTTTGAAGTTTTTGTGGATTCTGGATAAATTGGATTAGATCATTTCTTATTTATTTGAAAATAAATTGTCCACAGTCGAGGTTATCATTTTGCTCTCTATATCCAATGGTCGCAACACTTCAGTTAGCCCAACGAGAGTACAAATATGGCCACTGTCTGGTTAAAACTGCCATTTTTGATCCTGATAGTGTCAGAAATGCAGTAAAAAACCTCAAGAACCCCAAAACCACACCATAAAATTGTCCATATCGGTAAAGCCATCTTTAGCAGGCTATCATGCTATTTCATGCTAATTAACGCAACTTGTGCTAATTGTGTAAATTGCCCAACATGTGCAAGTTAGCATCCAGCAGTGTGTATGTGCCGGGGACCAGTAGTGTGTATGTGCTGGGGACCAGTAGTGTGTGTGTGTGTGTATGTGTATGTGTGTGTGTGTGTGTGTGTGTGTGTGTGTGTGTGTGTGTGTGTGTGTGTGTGTGTGTGTGTGTGTGTGTGTGTGTGTGTGAAGAGGAAGCGCAGACAGGCCTAAGAGGGAGAGATGGCTGTGGAGCCTCCAGTATTAGAGAAGCAACATTTTCCCATGCTACAGGGGACAAGTGCGTCCAATGAAAGCTGAGCCCCTCAGCAGAGACGGGAGGGGGGGCAGAGACAAAGAATCAACTACCTGAACTTTGTCTGCTGAAACATCTCCCAGGACTCTGCGTCTTGAGCTCTATTCTCACGTGTGAAGATAATCAGAGACACACATGTTAGCAACCGGACTGCAACGCCCTTCTGATGACATTAAAAGGGTCAATTATGTTCAACATTGGTGGGGAAAGATGTTATGCTTATAAAAACGTATGGCACTCAACAAACAATTTTCTGAAGTCTGGGATAACAGCATGTTGACTACATGTAAAACAAAGCAGTCAGGCAGGTTGTAACCAAGCACATTTTTGCCTAGATGATCGAAACCGACCCAACCTGCGACGGATCCAGTTTCAACCGTTAACAAATCTGTTTTTTCCTACGCCAAAACCGGACAATTTTAAACCAATTTACCAACTAATTTACGGCTGTGGCTCAGGGACTAAGTGGAGGTCAACCAATCGGAGGGTCTATGGTTCGAATTCCAGCCCCTGCAGTCAACATTTCAAGTATTGTTGGTCAAGATACTTAACTCCAAATTGCCCAAGTTGTTATTACATTACATCATGTTACTTGTTAAGACGCTTTTATCCAAGCGACTTACATACTCAATACTGTGGGCAATCCCCACAGGAGCAATTTGGGGTGAAGTGTCTTGCCCAGGGACACAACGACATGCTGACTGCACTGGGGTTTGAACCTGTGACCATCTGATCCCCATACCAAGGTTCTATCCACTGTGCCACACGTATTGAAATGTATGAATAAAAGCATCAGCTAAATGACATGTGAAAACTAAAATGTCACACACATATAGTACAAAGAGTTTGATAAACTCCTCTCACTGCAACACATATCCAACACACCAACTTGGGTCGTGGAGGTCAGATCTGATCATCCTGCTGCTTTACCCACAATCCTCACTGCTGCTGCCTTCAAACAGCAGCTCCTCTCTAAGACTATATCAACACTTCAAATAATCTACAAACACATTCTCTTCTCCACATAGGCTCAACTACGACTATTTCTAGATCAGATGTCAGAAATGACTCTACCTTAGTTAGTACAACTATATTATTAATGATATATTAAGAAGTGTTGTCAAGACTACAATAGAAAAAGTAATTACATTTACCACATGATCATTTTGCAATATTGCCACATTCTCACTGCAAACATAAACTCATTGTCTTACTTGCAATTCAGAAATTATCTGATAGTGAGTTTTTCTGTTTGGAAAGTTAACCTCACATATGATCAGATTATGCATTCAAAATATAAATCTATCATCCAGATTAGCACTGTAATTCCATTAAAACTTCTCACAGGGGTACCAGTTGCTTTCTATATGTGGCCCCTGCTCCACAGTACCTGAAGAACACGTCCCTGGGCTGGCGGCTGGTGCTGGGCTGCACCAGCTGCTCCTTCAGGTGCTCCAGGGAACAGTTGTAGACGTACACTGGACATCTTAACTGGGTGCAGTCACTGGTGCTCTGCTGGGACACCTGCCGGCTGAAGCTGATGTGGAAGTCTGCCTTCTGGGGTTCAGAGAACTGGACGCCTTCTTTCTCTGTACGATCTGGAAAAGGAGAAAAATTATGCATCACTCATTTTAATCCAGTAATATAATAAATACAAATATTCCCGATAATGGCACTTGCAAGGGGAATACTTTCGCAAGGGCGAACTCTTTGAAATGAATTGCTCCAGTTTCCTGTTTTTTTTTAAAGATATCCACAAATGTATACAATTATTACGATTTAGTGGACACTACACTTCAACTGGAGTATGAGACCTACCTGAGCCCGGGGTCCCCGTCCCTGACACTCTGCTGTCCCAGCTGTCCTGGTGCAAGTTCAGGGCCTCTGGGGGCACAGCCTGGTCCTCAGACCCTGGTGAGAACACAGGGGACCTGGAGGTGAAGAGTCCGCTGCTGGAGCTCCTGGGTAGTCTACCAGGCAGACTGAGGCCGGATTCGCTGGTGGAGCCGGACAGGGAGTCGGCCTGAGATTTGTTGCTGGGAGTCAGAGTGTCGTCCCCCTGCATGCTGGCGCTGCCCTGAGGCTCCAGCCCGGACGCCATCAACATCAGAACATCTGCAGAAAACACACAGTATTCACATTTAACTTTTTCCTATGAAGAACGTGTTTAAAATAGTGGTGACATTATGCAAAAGTAAAGAAAATTACTAGTTTTGACTTTTGGAGGGGCGATAAGGCAAATACACATGCTACAAAGGGCTTATTATCCCTGCAGCGTTCATATTACGTGCTCTCTTTGTTCCTACAGAGGTGACTCCTGTCCGCTATCTCCCACTGCTGTAAAACTCCCAAAAACTGGCTTGCGCACGTTTCAGCAAAATGCCTTTTCCCCTTTTTTCACGACTTCTAAAGCAAATTAGTTCAGAACATTAGTCATGGATTTAGGTGTGCTGTAACACGGAGGTAGGGATGGTAATAACTGATCTCCAGTAACTGCAATACATGCAGCTTTTGCTAATTCCTTAGCTTATCTTTGCCTTTTCACTGCCATGCAAGTCGTGGTTAAATCCACACTGGAATTACAGAAGGCAATTAGGGTCAAACTTGGTGATGTGATTAATTTACGTAAAAAATCTTATACGTGTAAAGGTTTCCAGATTAATCCTGACCGTTAACGTGAGCAAAACCTCCCCATTTTATAATGCTCTTAATGTCTTTCATTTTTGTAAAGCACTTTGAATTGCCTTGTGTTAAAATGTGCTATATAAATAAACTTGCCTTGCTTTACCAGGCCTTGTTTAAAACCTATGAAGGACATTATAGTAAACAAAATGCAAAGTGTACCTGTGTATGAAGCGGGGAGGAAGGTAAGGATGATCTGCTGAGAGCTGATGTACTTGGCATAGCACCTCCACTGAGGGGCGGAGCAGCTCCTCTCCCCCAGAGACGGCTCTTCGTCCACCAGGTCTGCGTTACTGAAACTCTGCAACAGACACAGGTTTACAATAGAACTCATTAATAGAGTGGAGCGTTGTCACAGGCCCCGCTGCAGATATGAGCAGAGAAATCAAAACGGTCTTATATAAGAGACAGGCCTCTATTTATAATTCCCATTGCTTTATTATTGGTATATTTTATCAGATTTTAGCTTGAAAACTAAACTCTGTTTTCTGATGTCCCCAATATTTAAAAAGACTACTATCGATGAACACTTAAGGCTTGATAGTGAACACATGTAGCATAACCAACCTTTCCACAACAACCCAGTGTTTCACAAAACCCTCTGACTGCTCAAATTAAATTATACATATCTTGAGGTGTCTGGTAAGGACAGATATTTTTTTTAACATAATATAAGACAAACATATCCCGCACAGTTTCCTGCTCAGGTAACTGTGTTTAGTTTTTCCATCACATGTTATTCATATGAATGTGACATATGGTCGGTGTATGAAAACAGCTGTATCACCTGTAAAGTGCTGGTGGAGCCCATCCCCTCTTTGCTGCTGCCGGTGGTGTGGAATGACGTCATGGTGTCATGTCTGTCTGGAGGCTTCACAAACTCCTCTGACAAAACAGAAAACATAAGAGCAGACATTAGAAGAGACAGTGGCCCCTGCTGCAATCGACTAAAAAATGACAAATAAAAAGGGACATGCCATAACCTAAAAGCCCTGTTGTTTTTTCACAGGGCAATCAGTGCTTTGCACTCTGGTACCAGAAGAACCTCCTCCAGCTCAACACAGAGAAACCAAGGAGCTGGTGGTGGGCTAGAGGAGGACATCCAAGGACCAGACATTGAGGTTGTGGGATCTTATAAGCACCTGGCTGAACAATAAACTAGCCAGATAATTATATTTCACTTTATATGAAAGGAGGGACAGAGCAGACTATCTGCTGAGGAGACTGAGGTCTTTTGGAGTGTGGGGGCCCACCTTTCTTGACTCTGTGGTGGCTGTCGGTTACCACATTCTCTGGTAGACCACCACACACAGACCAACACTTTTGTTCAAAATATACATTTATTTGCAATAAAAGTTCTATAAATCTTACTATTCAATACTGTTATTACTGGCTGCTACTTCTCTACTTTAGTTGATATGTTCACTTACTTTTATAATGCTGCTACGTGTTTGCCTCTTTAATTAATATGTGATTGTACTCTTTTAGTTTGTCTTATCTGCACTGTCCCCTTTGCTGTAACAACCTAGATGTCCCTGCTGTGGGACGATACATTATTTCTGATTCGGATTTCTGCTTTCTGATTCTGAGACAAAGACACGCACTGACCTTTAATCACAGGTAAGGAAAAAGGAGGAACATGGCCTTCCCGCTCTCGCTGGAAGATGTGCTGCATGAAGGTGAAGTGGTCGCTGTCAGCGAGCGGGATCTCTCTGTCGCTCAGCTCGTGCTCCAGGCTGCTGTGGAACAGACTGAGCAGCAGCTCGTTGGGCAGACAGGGGGCGCTGTGGCTCTGCTCCTCCGTCTCCACTGCTGCACACACAAAGACAGCAAGGAACAGTTACCTCAAAGGAAATACTAAGGTCTTGCTCCTTTTCTATTTGAAATACCTTCAGAAAACAGAGCATCGTACCTGTGCTGAAGGTGAGGAAGAAGATCTCCACCTGCTGGCATTTTGGGAGCAGCTGAATGAGGTCGAACTGGAAAGGAACCATGTGGATGCTTTCCTCTGAGGCCAGGGCATCACCTACGCACACACACACACACACACACACACACACACACACACACACACACACACACACACAAAATCCAGCCTTCATCTTAGACACTTTTTGAATATGACACATAATGCAATATACTTTGTCAGAAACAAACAAATCCAGTTATTTCCAATTGTTTTCTTTAAAACCAGCAATTTAGAATTGATTGGAACTACATTCTCCTTAATATGTATGTTTTCATAAAGTTAATGAAATACTGTGTGTCTTTTGTTCAATGTGAATACTACTTTTACTTCAGCATAGGATCTGAGTATTTCCTCCACCTCTGTTTGAGAAATGACAGTGTGTCAAGTGTTCATTTTCAAAGCAGGAAATGTAATCTTTCTACATTGCACGGTGTTATCTTACCAATCACATCCTTGAGAGGAGCAGCCAGTGAGCAGACCTGATCCTTATTCTGACACAGCTGGCACAAATACTCAAAGGTCATCATGGTGGACATACAGGCCAGATCCCTTGGGTAGATCTGGAAGAAAAAACACAAGGTCATTTTTAAACATTACCTTAAATAACCTTACAAACAGATATCCATACATAGATGTATACGTAGGGACCAAGGCACCCATGGAGGAAGCACTGAGTTTGCATTATCCTATTTTGTTAGTTTGAACAACTTTTTCTAAGTTGCTCGATTTTTTTCTAGGATAATCTTAAAGAGATTCAGACCCCCATGCCCCCCACCTCAGCTCTATCTCATAGTGAATAAGTAAGTGTGTATGAAAACCCTTTACACACTGCTTGAGGGATCTCTTGGTACTTGAGGCCCTGGAAGTGGCGATGGGGGTCCATGCAGTTCATCACGATGCCGCTCTGAGGCTCCACCCAGCACTCCGTCACCAGGTGCAGCTCTGTGTCCATGTCAACCGCCTCCACCTCTGTGTCGTTGTCTTCATCAGTGGAGAAGCTGGAAAGGCAAAAGACAACAAGCTGACTCATGTAGTAGCATCAGTGTGAATTCCAACATATGCAGAACATACATCCAAGACCAACACCTTTAGTAGCAGTAGTAGTGGTAATATTAGAGGGTGAGAAACAGGCAGCATGAGAAAAGTCCTTTTTGATCATGTAAGCATAGAGACATGCACAGAAGAGGCACAAATACAAATATGAGTCGGAAAATAAGCATAATAGGGCCCCTTTAAAATAAGGCGCTCTGTAAGATGGTTAATGGCAGTCGTACCTGTCCTTAGTAGATGTAGAGTGAGGTGGAAACATGATGTACTGAACAATACAAGAGTGACTCTCTCTGTCCGTTTCCCCTGAAATACCCTAAGAACAGACATTTAATTTAATTTAAATAAATTGAAAACTCTAGAATTTTGTGTTGCTAGAGATTGTGTTTCCTGCTGTTCTATACCTTCATCGGCAGCTCGATCACCATGTTCACGATGCCCTCTCCGCTGGCAGCAAAGTGGAAGCCTTCTGAAATGCGGATCCTGCCAGAGACATCAATTAATTATAATTAAAAGCACTAATGATCTATGTAACCTGGCAAACAATAAAATACATCTCTCCTGGAAATGTTTCGCTCAGAATCTGTTTAACTGTCTGTTGTAATGTGTTATTGAATGTATAGAACACACACACAACAAGAAGAACAAGGTGAGGTGTGTGAACTCACTCTGACAGCATGGTGAGGATGTGAGCGACCGCCTGCATGGCCACGGCCGCTCCCTGGCTGCTCTGCACCGCCCACACCCAGCGCTGGTGAAGGAAGTAACGGGACAGAGAGGCCAAGGTGGAGGAGGCCGTCCGGTTGGCTGCCATGCTCAGAGGGACAGAGCTGTTGGAGGGCTGAGGAAAGTTCTCCATGTTGAAAATGAACGGAGTCTGGAAGTCCAAGGGGAGCTTCTCGTACCTGCAGAGCAGTTCCTTTCATTTTAAAGTGTTCATTTCACATAGAGGATAACCTGAGAGGTCTTTAGTCTCTTTGCACATCACAGTCTGACTCATTTGTAGTCGGTCCCAGTTGTAACCAATACTTTTTATTAAGATATTCTAACATTGCAAGATGAAAGAGAGTTTTACTATCAAATCAATCAAAGGGGCAGTACTAAGATGAGGACATATACTAGCACCATTTATATTTCACCATATTGCAACATTTATCTGAATTTAAACATGTTAGTGTTTTCACTTTTTAATATACTCCCCCTTATAATCACTATGATTTTGTATATGAATTTTATATATTTCAATTTTTAAGTGGCATAATTATTTGGCTGAATGTTGTAATCATTATCATTTATTTATATAGCTTATATAGATACTACTTATTTTGTTTGAATATTTTATTCGTTTTTTGTCATTATTATTATTTTTATTATTAATTAATGTATATATTTAATTACCGTAATTTTCGGACTATAAGCCGCGCCTTTTTTCTAATTTTTCGACGGTGCGGCTCGGTGCGGCTAATCTATGGATTTTTACAGCTAACGGCCACTAGGGGACCTCCTAAATCTATGGATTTTACAGGTTACAGTCCACCACCTTTAACTGTATGGGCTCTATGGCCGGTCCGCGCCCCCCACCTTTAAGCGGCGGGCTCCAGCAGGAAAAGCTGGAGGCCGGAAAAGAGTGAGACAGGTAGCGCGCAAAAGTAAAAGTGGAACCGAGAGTGGTACGAGAGACAGAACGAGAGCAAGACAGACAGACATTGCGAGAGCGAGACAGTTTGTCCCCGTACCACTGGTTGAAAACCACTGCTGTAGATCACTGCCGGTACGTGCGCTGGGACCGCACCGTTTAAGTTGAAAGTTGAAAAGTTTGTGTGTCTGAAACGCTATGTGATACAGTAGAGTTTACACAGCACAGTACATGTTCTGTAGCTACTATTGCACTAAATGGTAACACTTGAATACGTTATGCAAATATGCAACTTGTTTGTTGAAATGTTAATAAATGGGAGCTTCCTCAAACAGCCATCTCTTTCCCGACAATCCCCTCTGTGCACGAACCCTTACATATGGTAATTAAACATTAAAACACCTGCGGCTTATAGTCCAGTGCGGCTTATATATGTACACATCATTCAATTTAGCTGCTGCGGCTTATATTCAGGTGCGCCTTATAGTCCGAAAATTACGGTATGTATACATTTAGCTTTCATTTGCCTAACAAAAGTATGCTTTTGGGTTCAACTTTAAAGCATACAATGAGGCATGTTTCCTTGCTTTGTTTCGCTTATACTCCCAGTAAATAAATGAATTTTGTGTTTTAATAAAAAACGTGTCTATGAACAAACCAAGTCATGACACTTGCTTCCATGTCCTGCAGTTCTGCTGCCCTGCTACCATGCACTGACCTGATGAGCAGCTTCTCCAGAGGCTTGTTGAGCACCACCACACAGGGCCGGTCCGACAGAGCAGGTTTGGGGGCGAGGATGGAGGGAGACTTGGAGGGTGATGGATTACCGACGATCTTCCTCTTGGTCTTGGGTGTGGCCTCTTTGTTCTGAACGCGATGAGGGAAGCGGAGTTTGAGGATTTGCTGCCGCAGCTCATCTACAATCTGATGGAAAACACAAGTGTCAGAACAGGTGTGTGCAGGTGTTTGAAAACAGGAAACAGATTATGAAAACCTAAATAAGTGCTGCCATCATTTTAAGGTACATTGCTGTCGCCACAGTAAGGAATATTTATTTTTAGTTGAAGAGAAATTACCATTTTAAAACACAAAAATCATGTTAAAATCGATATATTGTGAGAAATTATTAATTTAGTGAGTAAGTAGCCATGTAATAAATCAAATCAAATTAAACTTTATATGTATAGCCCAATATCACAAAACACGTTTGTCTCAGTGGGCTTTACAAATAGAAAACAAACTACATTGTATATGATGGAGTTACGGCAAAAGGAGAAGACGAGATAGTGGGTGGAATACAAATAAAAACAAAATAAAATAAGATACAAAAAATAAAAATAAAAAGACATAAAACATTGAAATTAATTACCATAAAAATAAAATAAAATGAATACCAGAAAATGCCAGCTCTAACTGAAGGCTTTGTTAAAAATGTAGGTGTTCAACGCACTCTTAAAGGTTTGGACACTCTCTGCCTCTCTGATTAAAACAGGAAGTTGGTTCTAGGACTCCTGATCTTGTGTTGCGGACTCTGGGCATAATAAGCATCTACTGTTGTATTATTGTATTATCTGCACCTATATTCAAGTATCCTCTTAATAAGACAATATGCTGTCTGTGAGGCAAATTCAATAAAAACAAAAGGCAAAATGCTACCCAATACATCACTAATAGTAAAACAACAACACAGAGTGGAACCATGCACCAAACAATGAACATAATCATGTGATCTCCTGCACATTCAATGCACCTTGTTTCTAACGTGCGCTGGTGTACCGATGGGGAAGCCCAAACGCAGCACCATGCAGGGCGTCTTGGAGATGAGCCGGACCAGGTAGAAGGAGGAGGGGGGCTGCTCCGACGAACTGCGGACACAATTCATCTTTGTTTTTTTCCATGAACTGAACAATTTTTAACCAAGTTGGTATGACATGAGATCCTCACTTGAAACACAACCTTTATGGCTTGTAACAGCTTTTAAGTGCATTATACACTCGCAATACCTTGGAATTGTACGTAAAAAAGTTTTTATTCCTTCAGAGATTACTGGATTTATGATTTTTAAAAGCCTAAAGAGAAGAAATGACTTGATACTGTAAGTAGTACACATGAGAACGGTCTGCTCTTAGTGCTTTCTGCTGTCTCACCTGTATATGAGTTTAACATAGGAGTATCCCTCCACCAGCACGAAGCTGCTCCAGTCCTTCAGCAGGGACGTAAGGGCGGAGTGGGAGATACGACACTGGATGGTGCTGTAGCGGCCATTGTTCCCAGCTGTGTGCAGATGTTTGGGGACAGGCCTGGAGGGACACAACAGAACCAAACAAATATGGCAGAAAATATGGCCACACAAGTCACTTCCTTTGCTGTATCTATAACTATAGAACCCTCACATGTCATGTTCAAGGATGATAGCAATGCGATGCATGTGCAGCCATCTCTGCCAGAAGGTGGCATCCATAGAGAGGATGGGCTTCCAGTAGGATGCAAACTGAGACTGAGAGGAGTCTTTGGATCCACTGTGCTGCAGGGACAGGACCTGAGAGAAGAGGAGCAGACAGAACAAAGGCTGGCTGAGAGGATAGAAAATAGGGGAGGTGGATTAGCAGTGATTACAGTAAAACGTTGCTGCTGAAAGGTTGAATACATTGTTTATTTCCTTATTGTCAACAGAGTAAATAAAAAGACCCATTGGTTCTACTGGAGACTGGAGTATTTCAAAAAACTGCTCACAAATACATTGTTTACTTTTTGAAAAAATGACTCATTTGCAGTGTTGGATTTAAACATAATGATGCTACTGTACCACTGTAATAACGTTAGCAACTTTTGAAATAATTGTGTCAACCTGGACTTTACCAAATATGTTCTATTTAGAGTCAAATGTGTGCACGTTTAACTGACATGGCAGAGTTTCATAAATCATAAAGTCCATCTCAGTGGCAGATCCTGTGCCATTTTAAACCAGTGTGTAAAGTTCCACTTGCTTTGGCACCCCCTGGTGGTAGTACCAAACCAATCAGGAGTTTGCATCTACATATTTACAATCCTTTTCTACCGAGGCACGTCATGAGCTGTGGAGCGGTGCATGAGCAAGCTGTTTGTGAGACCCCCCAAAAATAATGGATGTATGAGAACAACAAGAGCACAGTTCGGACGTATTCCACCATTGTTGTTATTGTGAAAGTAATTCAAACTAGTGTTGCAGCAACATAAACAGTGATGTAATGACCTGACGCCTATCAGACTTGATTTGTGGCTGAGTTTGCAAGGTGAACCAACAATACCACAAGCACAAAACTCAGACAAGACACCATTTTAGTGGAAGAGGGGTGAGAGTGGCTTGAGTGTGCACAGTACCGGAGTAGTAGAGCCAGGAGGGATGTAGAACAGAGGTACTCCATTTTTTGTGCTTTCAGGAATCATGTAGTTCTCAGGAATTGAGTTAAAAGATTGGAGGTGCACCAACATCTGGTCAGTCTGGTTGATGCTGGAAGGACAACACATACAGTTTGAAAAGATTTGCTACCAATGCATGATGGTGAAATTGCACAGAATCTCTATTTGTTTTGCATGTTTTTTTCCAGTTGTACCTCTGCAGAGTGTTCCAGAAGCGTCGGATGACAGAGGTGCGGTACGGGCTGGTGATGGGTTTCCTCTGAGTGCAGCTGATGTCATGTAGGATGTCGTAGCTTCCCTCCATCGTCACCTCCACCCTGGTGGTTCTCTTGGCGGGGTCCAGCGGCCAGGAAGCGGATGCCAGGTACTCGATGTGCATGTTGTGTTTCCACAACAATACCAGCTTCACCTCCAGCTGAGTCCCACCTGAACAACCAGGATGGAGCTCAAAATATGCTCCTGGACTTTCCAAATATCTGAGACGTTTTGCAAAGACAGGCTTACCTTTGGTGAGGCTGATCTCTCTGATGGTGTAGCCCTCTCTCAGGCGCACGGACACCACACTGATCAGATGGGCATGGACTTCCTTTTCTGTGTGCTTCTTCCTCCTCATCACCAGGGCAGGGTTACCGCTGGCTGACACCAGGTGCTCATTGAACAGTTTGTGTTGGGAAACTACACAACAGTCAAGCAGCTAGAATGAGTGTTCATTTCTTTAACAAAAACAATTGTTTACTCTAATTTACATTTGGTCTAGAAACCAGTTAATAGAGTCAAAAAAGACAAAACATTGAAAATACCATTATATAAAATTTATTTTATATAACCTATGTCCTATCAGAATGTTTTTGTTAGAAATGAATTTCATATATATACATAAATTAGAATAACTGGGTGTGCAAGTGTTGGTAAAGTTATACATTCTTCCTTCTTGGTTAAAAAATAGGTCATATTTACATTTAAAAACAAAAGAGACTTATATTTAAATAAAAAATGATGGTAATTAATAGATCTATTTTGTAATTGTAATTCATCTGTACCGGTACTTTAAAAATAATGTATGTTTAAATAAATATATTTAATTCCAAATCATTTAAAGTGTTGGTGTTCCCCAAGGCTCAATCTTAGGCCTACTGTTGTGAATATATTTCCAACTTCAAATACATTTCCTTTTAGATTTAAATAGGATTTGACAACACAAAAGATTATTTATTTTAGCAATTTGCAGTCATTTGTGTTAAGTGTCTATATATCAGACACATGCACCTGTCTCCAAATTATAATATTGAGTCTGTTACTCATAACCCACAGAAAGACTGAATAGTATTCAGAGCGGCCTCACCACAGAAGTACTCGGAGTTCATCGATTCGGGGGTGTTCAGGAAGGAGTATGTTAGGAAGGCCTTGTGGTAAGTATTCATCTCCTGGCTGTTCAGGTCCAAATCTGGACAGCTGGGCAGGTATGAGCCGAAGGTGGCTAATGAGATGAACTTCATCAGCTCTACGTTGGGGATATAGCCAAAGCTGCAGTCGTATGAGTATGCACCGCCAACCTAGAAAGGGGCAAACACAATACAAAGGTCGGTGAGTTCAGTACAATGGTTTCATCGTGGTTCAACGTCATGTAAACACTTTCTGTGTAACAGTTCTTTACATTGGACTTCCATTGACATGCACAAAATATTGCTGTTTCAACATATTCCAAAATTCAAAGAGCATGGAGCAATCTGGTTCTTTTTCTACCTCTGTTTGATGTTTCACTATTGGAGCCGCATTGGTGTTGCCAACTGAGAAAGTTAAAATGAACCCCTAGTCTTACAGTGACAGACAGGTCAAACTCTGCTAGTGGTCAAGCCCACTCATATTACCAGAATCAACCGACTGCTCACAAATCATTCTCACTTCTTCCCGTTAAGTAACTCAAAGCTACTTCAGCTCATCTAGGCTAGCTTGGAGTTTATTTTACAATGTGGAAATAATTCAACACATATTGAGAATCTAAATGGTTACTATTTTACTTGAAAAAGTTTTAGTGGGATAGTGGTCAAACAAATATAGAAATACCGCTTACACCAGAAGCAATGGAAATAACACTGTCACATTAACAATGTTGGATTCCATCTGAATCAAAGAAGCTGGATAAGTGAAAAAAAACAGAGCTGAGATCTTGTTTACCTGCACAAAGGAGCAGGCGATGGTTCCACTCCTGAGCTGGTTCAGCAGGGTTTCACACACGGCCACATCAGGAACACTCGTCACTCCATCTGTGATAATGATGATACCTGGAACACACACCTGCATGTTTAATTGCCAATTCTCAATATCTTCTTATCATTATGTGTAATCAAGTTACATCAACTTCCAATTGTGGAGAGATGCTGAGGACTAAAGGAAGTGCAGCGTCGAGTGCGAGTTCCTTAAATGTAAAGGGACATATGAATTAGTAGTTTGATTGAGAAACTCAATGTGAACATAAGACGAACCGACCTGCACTGGAGTTTGGTGGCAGCAGCTGAAGGGCCAGGATGCCTTGGCGTACCATGCTGACCAGACCCATATCAGCCGACACCATGGAAACGCCTTGCTTCCCTTGGGGTTGTTCATACTTGATGTTGCTGGGAAGATCTGAGCTTTGGACCGACTCAACGGACTGAAGGCACAGGAGATATAAATACATTAATGTAGAACTTCATTAAAGAATTAATAATACACAATATTTGATGTCACACTTATGGTCGCTTTGGTGGAAATGGTGCATAGTAGAGTAAACATATGACAACATGTTAAAGTAGAGAGCTGAGAATATTTTAAAAGGGGTAGCGTTGAACAGAAGCGTGCAAAATATTCCGAAGGGTGTGCGGGATTCAACCACTTAACAATGTGTTACTATTTAGAGCTGGACTGTGACCTTTTACAACACCCTACTACGTGGCTCTCAACTCACCTACTGAAGACAGAAATCTTTTCAAAACACATCGCACACCCATAAAGCTGACTTTCAATACAAATACTCTTTATTTTCTGAAACAGCTGGTCACTGTTGTTTTGTTTTACCTTAATCAGACTATTTTCTGAAGCTGATGAATCCAAATGTGTTGCTATAGTGAGTTTCTTTGGCAGCGGGACAGTGTACATGAATGTGAGAAAACTAAACAATAATGAATTACTTAGTGTGACAGCATTTTAGAGATGTTTCTGTTAAATGTAATCATGTCTCTTAATCTATGTCTCGTACAAATATGAGAGTGCTCTGACTTTAAGGACAACATTTACTATTATTTGCGTTAAACACTTGCAATTAACTTATGTGCCTTTTTCTTTGATGTGTTGATGTTTTACCTTGAAACAAACAGTTGTACAGTGTTAGGGTGCTACTATGGAAACATTTGGTGGAGTTTTTAGCTAGTAAATAAACAACACACACATTGTGTAGTCAAAGATAAAAGTGATTTGTCTCGATTTTCTCACAACTTCTAAAAAAGCAACTACATTGAGCTCGATTGATGTGTCAATGGAGCTCTATGGCACAAAGGAAGAAGATACTGTAAGTCAGGCTTTTATACACGCACACAATATTTGGTAGTAAATACATTTAATGTATGCTCCGCACAAATAAAAACGTGTAGAATATCTACGGCTTTGGGCTTTTAAAGAGGCTGACACGAAAAAGACACGATTTATGTGTCAGTGCTTCTCTTGAAGAAAATTGATATTTTTTGTTTTAAATATGAGATATATTGTTTCACTCCCTGCAGCAGTCAGACTGTAGAATCACCAAGCCCCCTGGTAAAAAAAACCTCACACACAGACTCCAGTCCCACTGCAGTCAGCATGTCGTTGTGTCCCTGGGAAAGACACTTGACCCCAAATGGCTTCTGTGGCCACAGTACTGAATGTATGTAAGTCGCTTTGGATATAAGTGTCTGATAAGTGAGATGTAATGTAATGATGTGCAATAGCACTGCCTGTAAATATACAACTTCGTGAATTACCACAGCTCATGTGCAATTTAAACTCAAATGCAATTTATGCTTTATTTTTCATTCTTTTGTAAACATTACCATCTACTTCAATTTTGTAATGGTCACACAAAAATGATACTGCTACTTACTTTTTTACAATGGTGTACTTATGTGATTTTTTTTTTTACTCCTTGTGTTTTTATAACGTGTGCCTACTTTTTTTTTTTTTAAATATTTAAGTCTAATATTTGTATTTCAATCTGCACTGTAGCTGTTGTAATGCCCCAAACCTTTTTCACTGCAGGACAAATAAAGGATTTCTGATTCAACTAACAACATTTTTTCTTATCTTTAAAGGATTAAAAAAAGAAGACATTGTCAAAAGACTTGAAGAGCACTTGCCTGATCCTGCTGCTGATGCAGGACCTCTGCGATGCTGCTCTCCACCGCTCTGAGCTGCTGATAGATGTAATTCAGGAACTCCACCAGGTCTGTTCTGTCCAGCTGACAGCCCTGCACCAACACCTGCGGGGGGGGAATAGCCTGTCAGAGGACTGCCAACGAAAAACCAAATACCATACATGACACACCAGTATGGAACAGGATCACACGTAAACTACTTCAGTGACCTGATGGGAAGTGAGGCCAATAATGGATGAATATGCCAAGATGGTGAGGAAGATCTTCGGCTTGAACAGCTGATCAGTTCCAGGGACTTTGAATGGTTGAGCCAGACCGGCCAGACACCTGGATAAGGCGTGAAAGACCTCATCGAAGATCATCTCTCCTGTGCTGTCATCCTGCACAACAGAGGACAAAACACCATTTCTGAGAAACTGTTGTCCACATTTACAAGAGCGCTTTATACTGTAAGTGAATTGCACTCCGAAACTGAGACATGCTAAATTACCAAAGTACAGATTTGTATAAAATGGTGCCCTAACAGAGGTGCAAAGATGCAGAGAAGTGAAAGAGAAAATATGAATGACTTTGTTCCTCTTTTTGATTTTATTTTGGGGTTTAGAGAGTGAGGTAGAACAAAGCATAACCATGTGTTTGCAGTACTTTAAAATGTCTAGTTTTTTTATGGATAGTTGTATACAAATATGTTTAAGGACAAATGTTTGAATCCTTCCCATAACCGATGGACCCTGTCTGCCTTCAACCTATTTGGATCTGATGTTCACAGAGAGGCATACATGTCAGCCTGGATGGAGACAGTGGACTAAGGGGTTGAGCTGCAGCTTTGACAACAATAAAGTATAAAAACTTCAGCTGTAGAATTATAACTCAAGCATAGGATGGCAATTAGTGATCATCATCAGAGGCCTGTACTACAAAGCCGGTTCAACATAACCTGGATATGTTTGAGTTAGCCGGTTGGCCTAATCCAAAACATACGCACTCTCGCTAAACGCTCCTACGACGCTGGTTATCAAGTGGATCGCTCAAGCCAGCCGTGTCCTATCTAGTTAGGTGCGCGTTCACATGAAAGGGGTGGTATTTGGAGCATTTGACCAATCACAAACATGGAGAAGCGTACTGACAGCGCAGCGCGTCATACTTCCTGAATGAAAAGTCAACTATAATATTAGACAAATATAAGACGTTAAACTTTAAACATCCATGACTTAAACACTTTATCCAGGATAAAAGCCACACCTGCAAGGTGAATACAGCTGGTAAAAGAAAAAGTGTTTGAATGGGTACATTAACAGGTTTATGATATCACTGAACGTCTAAGACACGAGTGGATCTGACTTTAATTACATTTGACTCGAGTGTTTCATCAACTTAATGTGTTGCTTAAAATAATACTTCTGCATACAGTAGGCTATGTGACACTGTGAGTGTTGCACGGCCAGATACGGCTCAACTGAGTCAGATAAGGAAATATATGATACATTATGATGTGATATGCCGCGGACTGTACTTAATGTTACTCTGACCCGGTTACTTATGTTGTGGCAGATATTTAAGTAAGCTTTCTTAACGCTAATGTTATAATAGTCAGATTGCTCTGAAGATGGGAGGTGATATTCTATTAATGTTCACCTTCACACAGTCGGTGATTTTTGCCGGCCGTCTTTCCTGCAACGGCAGCTTTTCTGTATTTCCTTTCTCCTGTAATATGACTTGATCGCTTTAAACTCTGCACACGGAGCTCTGATTGGTCAGCAGGCGGTGCTTTCACTGAGTTGATCTCTTAGCCTGCAACCTAACCTGCTCCGGGGCAGGTTAGCCGCACAGCATAAGTTACCATGGAGATCTAGCCCGCTAAAAAGAGAACCAGCGTCGTAGGACCGGAAAGCCGGAGTTTTCCCTGAAGTTAGCCAGCTAAGCGAAAATCCTGCTTCGTAGTACAGGCCTCTGGTGTTCCTTGAGATTGTGCTGCACTTTGTGTACACAAGTACTCAAGGTTTGTTCAGTCCATAACTAAATCAGATGTACACATTACAACTTAAACAAAAACAGCCGCTTGAGTGATTTTTGCAATTGTATGCAACCTGAATATTCGCCAGGAGCCAATATAGTACTTCATTCAAGTTTTATGTCAAATTAGGTTTTAAATTTTTTTCGACTTCCACCGATGCGTATAAGCTTTGCAAATTCACATGTATTCACTTCTTTGCATTGCCTTTGTAAATAATCGTGCTGAAAGAAAGGTGTATTTGTGTTTGGTCTGAACACAAAATAAAACTGACATTATTGTTTTGAGCCTTATCCAATGCAATGTGCACAATGGGATGCCAGCACGTCCAGAGTACATTGGTTAGTAGCACATTTCAGATACATGTAGCTGGACCCAAAGGCAATGCAGCAGAGGATATGTACTTGAGGGAAACAAATTAAGGTTTCATGTACGATATTGTGTATGCATGCAGAAAGATCTATTCTATCCTGACATAGCAACATTAGAAACAAGATTGAGATATTTCTTGTTGCAAGTTACAACCACTTAACTGAGTCTTACCACGATCCCTGTGGAGGGGCTGAGGTCCAGCTCGATGATGAAGCGGTACCTCCGGGCCAGGAAGGTGGCTCGAGTGGACGGCACCAACATGTGGGGGTACGTGGTGGGGGGGGAATCTGTCTGCCATCCTTTGGGTAAGATACTCAGCAAGTCCAGCTCGTTCTCCGAGTTCAGCTGTAAATAAGTCAAACACAGTATCAGTATCGTATTATTTGAAATATTTAAGAGGATCAGGAATATATGAAACTGTAACAAAAATATGTTTCCACCTTCGGGTCATCTTTTTTTAACTTTGTGCTTTTTGTAGACTTTTTGGTTTATTATATTTTAAGGAATGTATCAAAACAAATTCCAACTGCATTGAATTTGGGGATTCCATAGTACCCCTATAAAGCAGTTTGAAGAGGCCCTATTGTGTTTTTTGGAATATTACCTTTAAGGGGCTTTTTCCTCAACTGCCTAAAATATGACCAAAATATGCATCATTAGCCCTTGAACAGTGGCTTCGAAGTAAACAGTACACATCTTCACATGACTTTGGTCTTTGTGATCAACTCACCAGTTCAGGCTTTGATGCTGGCCAGATAACCTGGTTCAGTTTACCAAGAAACCAGGCCAGACGCACATTCCTGGAGATGCGATACTCCTCCTTCATCAGGAGGTAGATTTGGTCCGCCTCCTCCACCTTCCAGTGACAGACACATAGAACATTGTCAGCATTAGGAGCAGTACAGTAGAGTATGTTTTGCATTATTAGGGTGGGAATTGGCCAGTTTTTTTATACCGACTAAGAATACAGCACTGATTTAGCCTCTGTTATTGCATTAACTAATACATCTTATTAACATTAGTCTTCCTGTAATAAATCTGATGTAAACTCACATGTTGACACTGACGTTCAAGTTAAGATTCATACTCAAAACTGAAATGTAAATAAGAACAACTGTGCAAATGCTGTACTTAGGTACAATTTTGAGGTACTTGTACGTCACTTGAGGATTTTCGTGCTATGCTACCTGATACTTTTACTTTACTAAATGTTGGAGGTCATTTTTTAATTCATTTAAAAATATTAGTTACTAGCTACTTTGCAGGAATGGACCTCTAAGACTATGAATCAACCAACAAATCAGTATATATTATTATATGTTAAGCTACCTAGCAGTATATATCAAGTCCTTTAAATAATCCCTACTTTTACCGAGTGAACATTGACATAAATGCATTCATAATAATCCTAATAGAAAAATGTTATATGTTTTTATCTGATATGGGCAATAGCCTACTAGGAAATGTGTACTTTTTTTGTTTGTACTTGAAGTATATATTGATGCCAATCCTTTTTGTATTTTGTACTTAAGTACACTTTTGAATGGAGGAACTTTACATACAGAGTATGTTTACAATGTAGTATTACTATGTTTGACTTAAGTGAAAGATCTGAGTATTTCTTACACCTCTTCTCAAACTTAATGCATTTCTTAAATAAAATGCACTACAAAACTGTAGTTACCAAGGCACTGCATCTCTATGCTGCATTCATCAACACTATGCTGCAGAGCCAGACACACAGGAACTGATTTGAACTTAAATGTAACTGTTAGCTCGAGACTAACGTGGCTCGTGCTCACTTGCAGCTTGGTTGTTATTGCTAGCTGTCGAGCTAACGTACAGCTAACACTAGATTCTATACGTCAAGAGGTGTTAGCAAAGCTCTATTTGCTTGGGACTGCTCATACTTAGGCTTTAATTGAAACAGGACTTTGTCTGCAGACTTTTAGGGCAAACAATTTGATTAAAAAACGTGCTCTTATTTTCCCAAGATATGCAGCCCCTGTTGTTCTTTCTGCAGCCAAAAGGTAAAGGTACCTCATTGTCCGGTCTCTCTGCCATGCCGTGAATCACATAGGGACTGCCTCAGCTGACCGGTATTCACTTTGTTTTGTGGAATATAATCCGCCCAATACTTGTTTATCATTTGTCTTGTCCGGTCTTGTCAGGTGTTCGCAGAGTTGTGTCGGTTTGGGTGACAGTGCATACAGTTTCCGGTCAAATCTTTCAAAAATAAAACGTATTTGACCCACACGGACATAAGCATATTTAAAATGACATTAGTATATGACATTAGTGTATTTCCATGTAATGCTACTTTTATTTCACTACATTTAAAAGGGAAATAAGGTATTTTTTACTCTATTATATTAAACAGCTTTAGTTACTTTTCAGATTTTGCATTAAAAAACATGTGATCAACTTTTTACATAATGCATCTCTAAAGATGTAATTACTGGTCTAACTGTTTCACGTAAAAACAAATGTAGAAGTATACAACATATTAAAAAAAAGGTTTGTGTGTACAACAGCAAAATGCTGCTTGATGCAACTATTTTATTAATCTTATAGGCCTATTGTCATATATAATAATATATTTATCACATATGAAGGGCCATTTTATGCAGAACTAGTACTTTTGCTTTTTATACGTACATGTTCTCTTGAGTCTGTACTTTTACTTAAGAATGTAGGACGTGTATTTATAATAGAGAATTTTTACATAATGTATTGCTACTTTTATTTCAGTAAAGGATCTGAGTAGTTATTCCACCATCTGATCTTGATAGAGTAATTTAAGATGATTCTGAAATGGGCCTTTAGCCATAATGAGTACTTTTACTGTTGTAACTTTAAGTATATCTTGATGATATTCTTTTGGACACAGGACTTTCAATTCTAACATAGTTATACTACTTTTACTTAAGTAAACAATCTGAGTACTTCTTTCACATCTGCACAATGGGAACACCCTTTACAGTCTATGAGAACGCCCTCACAATTTCCATTATTTGTATAGCATAAGTGAGTAAATATAAGAAATACATTCTGCTTTTTAATTAAAGGCAATTCAAATGTTGAATGTTTTTGAGGAAATATATGTTTTTTTAATTGGTTTGGCCTTTATCAGAATATAACTTTTGAAATGTCACCATAGAAAAAGGGCTGGTCGGAATGATAAAATACACACATTCTAAAATCCGTTTATTAATTTCAACAGAAGTGTTGTTATAGTAGGCCTAGTTGTGCTACATTTTCACATTATTGATAACACATCTTCAATTTCTAAAGACTTTGTTTCTTTTTTAAATGGAGGATGTGTTGTAGCATGCTTTTATACAATTAAATAATACTGTTAAATATGGTACTCTTTTCCTTATTTTCAACGTTTCGTCCTAACGATGAACTTGCATATAACGGTTATGTTTCATTAGATGTTATTATTTATATGCTTTTATTTTGGAAAGACTTTCATTAAACTTCCGTGATCCTTGTTTTTAAGCGACATGTGACCAGGAAGCGTCACTGCTATATCACTTATGTTCAGTTATATACATCCATGGTTATACACCACTGTAATAAAAATGAAAAAATAATTGGGAATTGTTGCAAGAATATCGAAACTATCAATTTCTCTACGGACAAACTGAATGTTTCATATGCTGTTTTATTTTTCACAGTTTAACCAATCTTCCTTGATACAATATTAGTTACATAATCAGTATAATAACATTTTATTTTAAAATAAATACAAATGTATGATATTCAGTGTGTGATATGAAAGGTTTTTAAGATAATATTTTTTACTACAAGTGACAAGGGATTTTTTCCGCCCAGAGCGATGCTTCCCAGGTCCATTTCCAAATATTTACGTCATGTAATGTTCTTGTTCAGACAGGATATTTGTATATTTTATATATGTATTGTTATATATATTATCTGATTTATATAAACGCATTGGACTTTAATATGTGTCTACATTTCCATATTGAATAATTAGGCTGCTGTTTTCCAGTTTAAAGTGCAACAGGAAGAATGCTGTTGGGTCATGAATTAGATAAAATATGATAACATAGATTCAAATAATGAAACAGTGAAAATAGGTAAAATATGTTCTTTCGTTTACAGTTTTGATGCAGGAGGTGCTGCCTAACCATGGATGTATGCCTGACAGTCAACTCTCAGGGCAAAAAGGTCGCTTGATGATGACGTAGTGCAACATGCGACGAGGAGCCGTGTTCTCCACGTTGTTTACAAGAAGGTGCTGCCAGTGTGTTTTTAGCTTGCTTTATTGCTCGGTTTACTCTTAAATCATGGAGAAAAAATCCACCGGGAATAAACCTAAACCTGCAAAGATGAAAGACAGTGCAGACCCCGTCAGAAACTTCGAGAAATGGAAGAAAAAATACAACAAGACGAAAGCACGAGTGAAGAGCGACAGAGTCCCAAAGAAGCCCGAGTGGCAGGTCGAAAGGGAGTATATCGAAAAGCTAGTCAGCAGGTATTCAGAAATAAACAGCAAGGAGGCTGTCAGGTTTTCAGACTTCCCCATTTCAAAGAAAACCTTGTTAGGTTTGCAGGGGATGCAGTACCGACAGCCCACCGAGATCCAGAGGCAAACTATCGGCTACGCTTTGCAGGGTAAAGATGTCCTCGGCGCGGCTAAAACCGGCTCTGGGAAGACTTTAGCCTTCCTCATACCGGTGCTAGAGTGCCTGTACCGCCAGCAGTGGAGCTCAGTGGACGGCCTCGGTGCCCTCATCATATCCCCCACCAGAGAGCTCGCCTATCAAACCTACGAGGTCCTCCGCAAGGTCGGCAAGAACCACGAGTTCTCCGCGGGGCTCATCATCGGTGGTAAGGACCTGAAGAGCGAGTCCGAGAGGATCCACAACACCAACATCGTGATCTGCACCCCGGGACGCCTGCTCCAGCACATGGACGAGACGGCCACCTTCCTCGCCTCAGACCTCCACATGCTTGTTCTTGACGAGGCGGATCGCATCCTGGACATGGGGTTTGCTGATACCCTCAACGCCATTGTGGAGAACCTCCCCAAGACCAGGCAGACGCTGCTGTTCTCCGCCACACAGACCAAATCCGTCAAAGACCTGGCCCGCCTCAGCCTCAAAGACCCGGAGTATGTGTGGGTCCACGAGAAGGCCAAGTTCAGCACACCTGCCACCCTGGAGCAGAGCTACGTGGTGTGTGAGCTCCACCTGAAGGTCAACATGCTGTTCTCCTTCATCAGGAGCCACCTGAAGAAGAAGATCATCGTCTTCTTCGCCTGCTGCAAGGAGGTGCAGTACTTGTTCCGGGTCCTCTGTCGCCTCAGACCTGGCATGCCCATCCTAGCTCTGCATGGCAAGCAGCAGCAGATGAAGAGGGTGGAGGTGTACAACGACTTCCTCAGAAAGCAGAACGCGGTGCTCTTAGCCACAGATATAGCCGCCAGAGGCCTGGACTTCCCCACAGTCAACTGGGTGCTGCAGTTCGACTGTCCGGAGGATGCAGACACCTACATCCACAGGGTGGGCCGCACCGCCAGGTACAAGGAGGGGGGGGAAGCCCTCCTGCTGCTGCTGCCCTCTGAGGAGAAGGGTATGATTGGACAGCTGCAGGAGAAGAAGGTCCCCATCAATAAGATCCAGGTTAGACCTCCCACATCCACAGCATCTCCATACACACACACACACGCGCACACACACACACACACATTGAGCAGATGAAAACCCATCTGCAATTGTTTGTGATCTCGTAATACATTTATACGCAGTGGTTTGATGTTTTATTTCATCAACACTGCATTAACACTGGTCATCAAAAACATGTGATTAAACGTCATACATTACAATTTATAGCCGAATGTTGTCATTTCTCAGTGCTGTTTGTTTCAGAAACTGAAAATGATCAGTGGTCAGTGACTTGTTTCTGGAGTTATATGAGTGACATCGAATTGTCTTATTAGTTAGAGAATGTCAATATTGTATTTGGCTTGAAGCCTTTCAACAGTGAAGTGCTTTAAGCATACTAAGAAATATGTTTTATACATTTCTAGGAGTGATACAAGCTTAGTATGTATTACACTGAGATATCCCCCTAAGAAGTCTTAGATGAAAAAACCATTCCTTTAAATCATTTCACATCAGTTTTTCTGAGAAATGTGCTTTTTATTGTTAACTTAGACAACATTATTATATGCATATGTTACTCGACATATAGATTTTCATTGCAATAAGGTACCATTTATAAATGATACATTTATGTTATTGGTCAGAAACTCAAAAATGCAACACAAGCAATATACAAGTGTTGGATACAAAAAAAGAGCAGAATACAACATGTGTTGATCAGTTGTGTTTTCTGATTGGTCGCAGGTGAACCCAGAGAAGCTGCAGAACATTCAGCAGAAGCTGCAGGCCTTCCTGGCCCAGGAGCAGGAGCAGAAGGAGAGAGCTCAGAGGTGTTTTGTTTCCTACCTGCGCTCCGTCTTCCTCATGAAGAACAAAGAGGTGTTTGATGCCTTCAAACTCAAGCTCAACGATTACGCTCATTCTCTGGGCCTCGCCGTGGCTCCGAGGGTTCGCTTCCTGAGTAAAGCCCAGGCACAGAAAGAGGAGAAAGAAGCAAAGAGGGAGGAGGAGCAGTCTGAAGAAGAGGTGGAGCTGAAGAGCTTTAAGGCCCAGCTGAAGGGGAACAATCCGGAGGAAAGTCAGAGCTCAGAGTCAGGGGATGATGAGGAAGGAGATGAGGATCAGAAGGTATTAGGTCTGGGTGCAGACAGCGATGAGGACGAAGATGATCTAAGAGACTTGGACTTGCTCACAGTCAAAAGAAAAGACGTGTTCAATCTGACGGGGGATGGTGAGAGTTCAGGTGAACCTGACGAGGACTCGAATGTGAAGATGGAAACGGAGACGAAGTTTAAAGAAGCCAAAAAGATCCTCAAGAGAAACTTCCAGGTCAACACCAAAGTGACGTTCAGTGAGGAAGGACAGGCCGTGCAGACGTGGCCCCCTGTGCAACGGGTAGTGACTGCTGATGATGAAGACGAGGGGGTTTCAGGGATCAACATGGAGAAGGCCAGGGAGAGGCTGAAGCGCGAGGACCAGGAGTTCGACAAGCTGGAGTACAGACGCAAGGTGAAGGCCAAACACACGGAGAAGAGGCTGAAGGCCAAGGCTGCCAGGAAGGAGACCAGCAAGCACAGAAACAAGTCTGACGATGAGGAAGACGAGGTGATTGCTTACCTGGCCAATCACAGCGACGACGAGTTCGACCCAAGCTCCCTGCCAGACCCTGACAAAGTGAGATCTGACGAGGAGGAGGAGGAGGAGGAGGAGGTGGTGACAGCAACCAAACGGCAGCACAGCAGCGGTGAGGAAGAGGAGGAGCACACAGTGGGGAAGAGGAAGAAAGTGAGGCAAGAGAAGGAGGATAACACTCCCCTGGACACTGGCCTGTCTCTGGCTGAAGACGAGGAGTTAGTCTTACATCTGCTGGGAGGCGGGAGGTAGACAGGAAAGAGGAGGCGGGGCTTAAAGGAGGCTTTTCCAACAATAAACTGGTCTTTTAAATAAAGTTGAATTACAAAATCAAGAGTGAAAGGACTACAGGACATTTTTGAGTCTGTTTGTAAACCTTGATGACATCATTATCAGGTTTCTTTTCTTCATAATGAACAACTGGAGTAGTTACTTTGTTTAATGGCTCTTACATCTCTAACAGTAGAGTGATGCAGGAATGATTCAATAAACCTTAGAATCATTCCGTTTTCTTTTTAACATGTTATTGATTGGACGCCTGTGATGTTTCCGTTTTGTTCAACAACCCAAAATATGCCAGTAATTACCCCATTCGTGATGGTCCAAAGCTTTCATGTGTTTAAAAAAAAAAAAAAGCGGTTGCTAACAAATGTTTAAATGAGACTGCTTAATGTCAGCATGGCCAACTCTAGCTGCTTTTAGTTAGCCGTGGTGACATGAAGTCATGCGGCCGTGATTTAGTTGAGTTTATAGCCTGACATTAGCTTTTTACTTAACCTTGCAATGTTAACTTCCGGGTTGGCCTACAAAAACACTTCATCACTGCACTACGTTGTTGTTGAGAGTAGTCAAAACCATCACTGCCGCTATGAGTTTAAAGTATAATGTTTGTATTTGTGATGTAACAAAAGCATTGACTTTTTGTATTATTGTGAATGTTTACCCATCAGATGTTGGTATAGCTGCAAAAGGAGAGGATATGAGTTTCCTCCTGGATGTTTATTCCTTTTCAATCTGCAGTCTTGTGTCGAGCCTCTTATTTATCCTTCTCTCTTAAAGTTCTTCTATCAATTACCTTCATCATCAGAGAGCTTGTAATTATTGAAATGTAAAAGTCATTTCATATCAGAATGCTGTTGCCATTTTGGCAATAACTTGGCTGTAAAGTTATTCAATCAAGTAAGTTGTGTTGCTGATGTAAGTGTTGAGTGCAATGCTTTTGATTCTGGGCAAAACATTCTTGACAGCTAAATTCATTTTATATGCATACATGTAAGATCTGCATCATTTCTGGATAGTTGCCCAAACTGGCTGAAAACTTGCAGGTAGTAAATTGTTGTTATACAATATCATACAAATGATCAGTTTTAAAGGTTTTGTTCCTGCATAATTTTTTTTTGTATTGTTTCTTTTCTAAGAAATAACGCATACCAATTATTTTTTTATTTACAGGCAACATTAAAAAAAAAATTGTATAATTGTAACTTTTTATTTTCAAAGTGACAATTGAAAAACACTAAACTTTTTAGTAAAAATATGAATTTGTGCAAGAATTGCAGTAATGGAATAACACTTTGTCTTAGATTTACCTTGACACACACACACACACACACACACACACACACACACACACACACACACACAGAC